CACACACACACACACACACGCCGCGCGTACACACACAAATACACACACACACTCTTACACTAACTCACTCACTTACACACCGTGGGACTACTTAGTGAGCATAATGCTGCAAGACACGTGGCGGGGGGTGGGGGTGGGGGTGGGGGATAATGATGACGATCGATAACAATGAAAGTTTTAGTCAATAAATTCAACGAAAGAACACGATTCAGGGAGGTGGGATTGAAAAGTCTTGACAATAATGTGGGAAACATTTCTTATAGTAAACAAGCTTCCTGTCATTTAATATATTGTATTATATATAATACAGGCCTATAAACTATAAAACATGTAGACATGTTACATAATGTAAGTTATTACATGAAAATCCTTTTAGCCATATAAGGCATAATTGGTTAACCACTGACCAGAAATAACTTACACCACCACTACCATCGCCTGCGTCACCACATGCAATTCCTGTGGGAACTTAATTAAGTGGGAACAAATCATGTTACTTTTACTCGTATAATCAAAGTCCGCGTCGTATACGGTCTCTGATTATAACCATTGAAGGTTTCTCTAAATCAGTTTATCGTAAATAATCAAAGCTAAAAAATTATCCAGAAAGAAACATTATATTATTTTAGTACGCGTACCTTAGAATCTAATTTCGCGAAGGCGCTTTTTTTCCCTTTCATTTTTTCTTTCTTACTGTTGTGTTTGTGTTGGGCATAGATAATGATAGATCTATAGATCTAGATATATCATATCTAGAGTTATCTTAATTATAGAAGCCCGTGTCGATGTAATACGGTATAATAATATGATAAAGTCGGCATGTAGTTTCAATTTCTTTCCTTATCATGTGGCCTATATGAAGTAAAAGACATTACTCGAATGTTTTGTTTAGATTGTTGTTTTTTGGGGGCTTTTTTTCTGTTTCGTTATGTTATGTCAACATTCATGATAATTTTGCATCACGCATAGGCAACGTTGCACGTCGTGGCTTCGGCCCTCTTCATGACACATCAAGTGTAACCTTCAAGACAGCCTATAAAATCAAATTGTACCAAAAAAAACTGATTTAAAAAATATTTACATTCATGGAGGGTTTGAAACCTTTGTCTAAATCTTAATATATTTTTTATGTTATTTTCTTTAGTTCACTGCGAGATTACTGCAGAAAGTTATTTTTAGTTTCGCTTCTCGTACGTGCGGATCTGTGAAAAATGGCGGATTCAGGGAAAGTTTCTGTTTCGTTCATTTAGATTTGAATAGTACGTATACAGATCAGGTTGATAGATGTTTTATCTCTGCATTAGACTCTGTCAGTATGAAAATTTGACATATACTGGATCTACCTGGTATGAATGAAGTAGCAAATGTTGCTAGCGCTAAGGCTACAGACACTGACGCCAAAGCAAATGGCACCGAAAAGACTGGAATTGGAGGAGGTGGAGGTGGAGGAGAGCACAGTGGCAGTGGTCACAGCGACAAATTTCTTCAACAGTCAGTTCCCCGCGGACGAGAAGTGTTGGCAGGTGAAGAAAATAAGAAGACCTCGAGACAGTCTTCTCCTAGGCGTGACATAGGACCCCGAGAAAAAGAAACACAGTCTTTTTCATATAGAGATGGGAACAGAAATAATAGGGAAACGATCACCTCCACCAGGAGAAGTTCGAGCAGAGGGGGTGGTGGTGGCCCTCTTGTTAAAGTTGGACCTGGAGGCAGTGGTGGTTCAAGTACAAGAATGAAACGTACAGATGAAAGAAATCTTCAAAGTGGAAGTATTAGGACTGCAAAGCGAGATGATCAACAGTATCCCAGAAACAAACCACAAGGTGCTTTAACTGGAGCTGGGGGACCAAATGATAAGAAAGGTAAATCAGTGTACGGTGTTGTTGGTGGTATAAATCTAGATTCTAGATCTAGATTTAGATCTTGATCTAGAAGAGAAAATCTAGATATAGAAATCTGGTGTGTAAAACTATCATCAATGCCAACATACAAGCTCCTTCCATTTATCTCTGTCCTGAGCCGTCCTTCCAAGCTCGTTCCAAGTGAGCTTCATTTCTCTCATGTCCCTTTCCACGCATCTCCTCCATGTTTCCTGTGGCCTACCCCTGCCTCGTGCTCCCTGTGGGTTCCACTGCATGCAGTGACTGTCTTGTGATGTTTCCGCTAGGCTTTCTTAAGGTGTGTCCCATCCATCACCACTTTCTTAGTCCTATTTCTACATCCTTTTGTCCTGTCCTTTCCCACAGTAGGTTTTCATTTCGGCCACCTCTATTCTCACCCCGGGTGAGAATAGTGAGAATAGTGCAGGCGAGACTTTTGGCTATTCTCACCCGGTGCGCGTTCACTGTCAAAGCCTAGATCTAGGCCAACCGATTTTGAGTTCACCCTAAACCACAAAATTCTTCACTGTGATAACAGAAAAATTGTAGAATTCTGTGCTGTGAACAAACGTTCCGTTACTATTGTTAGCCTACTAAAAGCGTACAATTTTGTCTGTAGGCAGTGGAGAGAGAGAGAAAGAGAGAGGAGGAGTAGCGCGAGAACTTCCGGGCAAAACAAAATGGCAACCTGCGTCGTTCGGCTCGATTCGAAAAGTTAAATAGCTGTAGCATCTTTGTAGACGACCAAATTGATTTACTTTTGTGTTTTACCATCATTTTTAAACTTTGTTTTGGTCAATTTGATCGTCCACACCGATAGACAGTATTCAGAAAGAGACAGAGAGAGAAAAGGAGAGGAGTAGATCTTGCGAGAACTTCCGGGCAAAACAAAATGGCGACCCCCGTAGTTCGGCTCGATTCGAAAAGTGAAATAGCCATAGCATCTTTGTAGTCGATAAAATTAGCTATAATAATATGCTATAACGTAATCTTTTCTTTGTCTTTTTATCCACATCGATAGAAAGTATTCCGAAATTAGGAAAAACAGGTCTTGTTTCACACCGGGTGAGAATGCCTACGGCACGGTGGCAAGTCTCACCCGGGGTGAGAGGTCGATCGTATTTCTATACCTTCCTTTCATTTCTTATTCTATCCTGCCCCTTAATTCTTAGAATACTCCTCATACATCTGTTGATGAAAGTCTGGACTTTATGTGTAAAACTATAAACATTAGATTAGAAAAGGAACCATATAATAATCTTATAGAGACGTGCTTTGTTGTGTTATGATGGGTCCATTCATTTTGTTTCTTGTGGAGCTAAGTTTGTGGATCAGGATATATAAGGGAGTGCTTATTCTCGTGAGAATAACCCATGTCTCACTATTCTCACCCCCTTGTTTTACAGGAAATGACCCTAGAGGGATCAGGGCTGAGGTTATTAAACCGTAATTACCTTGGGGGGGGGGTCAGGGCTGATATCAATGCTCCACAGGATGGTGTTCGTGTCTGATAGTCATAGTCAGGGATGTCAGTTTGGAGCCAAATCCCAGAATTTTGGCTCTTTTGGATCACGTCTGGCCTGGAGAATTTCATATGGCTCTCCGGCTGTTTTTTTGGTTCCAAACTCCAAATGTTCAAGACGAAGGGGAAAGAAGAGGAAAGAGATAAAAGGACGAATAAAGGAAAGAAAAATGAAAGTGAAGAAAAGAGCTTGAATTGCTTAATTATTAAACTAGTTACTAGTTAACTACACCATTTTACGCCCTTGGCCATTTGGTCTGTATAATTTAACCCTTTTTCCATCATGCAAGAGCATTAATTAGTATTTAATCTCGTGCTTGCGTCTCGTTACGTTCGTACATGCTCTCTGTTCCTTGAACCTTAATTTATTGTGTGGAGGCAGAGAAGCCTGCCATCGTTTTAAAAAAATGTAACGAATGGTCTGGCCGGCGCCGGTCCCACACCCCGCACACTAATGCGGTAGTGAGACTTTACTGGAGAGGCGAAAAATGTTTTCACATTAAATTATTTTTCGATTTGTTGTTCATTAAAATTAAAGATACTTTAGTGCAAAGATCTAGTTAAAAGAAGATCATATCTGATTCAAAAGTCTGCATAGAGTCCCATATTCCGCCTTTAATTCTGTAAGAGCTCGCCTTCATCTCATGGGATGGAACACTTGAAGCAGGCTGAACTATTACATTAAAAGATCTGTCAATAGCGGATCATGGGCTATTCTCACTTGGGGTGAGAATAGGTGGCCTAAGGGATAAGGTACTTTAAAGAATACGCCTCTACTACTCTAGATATACTACTCTAGGCATGTAACATGCCTTAAAAGTACAGTAAGCATAATAGGAACCCCCTATCCTCCAACTACCCTTATTGAATTGTGCCTATCCGTAACTTACCCATCTAGTCTTTAGAGTCAAAAGGTTAAAAAATATCTAAAACTCACAACACTGTTGGATAAAATAGATTAATTAATTAACAATTGTTTAACCGACACACCAAGATGAGACCAAATGATTTTGCCCCCTAGACCGCAATTAGACCACGATATATCTCTTAACTGATACAATACAGGCCTGCCACTCATCCTGATTTAATAGAGAATCCTGATATTTTGATCCCATTTATATCTCAAGCAGTCAAGCATCCTGATTTTGTTTGCGTTTCCGATTTAAAAAAAAAAATCTCAATTGCGCCAGATTAAAAAAAAACTTACTCTGCCTTCATGATTTTTTATGATACAATGGAACTCGGATTCAACGAGGTCACTAGGCCTGACATAAAATCTCGTTGAATCTGAGTGTTCGTTACAGCAAACACGCAAGATTTTGTGTAGATAATTACAGGCGCTGAGCAAGTAATGTACAAAGAAGTGCCTGCATATTATTAGCTGTGTAAAAAAAAAAGACCCGATTCTTTCAAATAAACACGCCTTTGTCATCTCGATTGTTTACCAAAAAGTTGTGATGTTGTGTAGAGCCTAGCTATAACGACAACTTTTGATTTCATAGACCAGCGCACAATTCATTACGTAGATCTACGTCAGGACTACATCTAGCTTACCATTGTAATAATGATCAGTTGCCGGGGGGAAAAAAAGACTGACGCGTTTCTGTGACGTTCAACGCCCGGACCGCTAGTGCGCGCCCCCCCCCCCCCTCCCTCCCTGACACACACACACAGTCACACGTGCGCAGGCCGCCCATCTGACCCCGACACACGCCAGAGTAGACTCGTGCGCGAGCCAACAACGCATGTGTTGGTATGAAAAAAGGCCGCTGAATGGTCACATGCAATCGGCTAAGTGAAAAATGGTTCACGATGCAGTTGCAATGGATGGTTTCCGGGAATAGATAAAGTTCGTTCTGGGAGAAAAATGAGGGAAGCCACGTCTGCGTGGGCTGTTCACCCTGGAAGCGACCTCGTTGAATCCGAGCTCGCTGATTTAAGTGCTCGTTGAATCCGGGTTATTTTTATTGATTTTAAGGAAGAAAAAAACCCGGGGAATCTATCTCATCTCGTTGAATCCGAGTTCTCGTTGAATCCGAGTTCTCGTTGAATCCGAGCTCGTTAAATCCGAGTTCCACTGTAGTGTATTCTTTTTGAAAATTATTTAAAAAATATAATTTCCTTACTGTTGTCAATTCAACGTATAAAATACATATTTTTCTAGATTTGAATTCCTGTCAACAAAATTGAAGATACAGTGAAGACTAGCTTCAGCTTTTAAAAAGTTTTAAAATAACTTTTTTTTGTTAGGGCTGTCCAAGAGTTTGTTTTGGGTGTTGAGAAATAGAACAATTATTTGCACCTTTATTTTCAAATAATAATAGTGGCAGATATTGGCATAACTGGGGAATGAAAAAATATTTTGTTTTTGCTTCTTTTTTAGATTTCAATTTTTATCCAATCTTTACAATTGGTTTAAAGGTGTACTGTGAACTTGAACTGAAAAGGGGAGGAGGGGGGGGGGGGGGGGGGATTGATAAGGAACCACATCCATAAAATACTTCAGTTCTGTTTATTATACACAAATGTGAATTTTTTAAAACTTTTTTTTTTTTGCAGGTGATCTAAAAGACAACAACAAAGGATATTGTGAGGATCCTCTTGTAAAGCTCATGAAAAGAATAACTCGAGTGAATTTTGACAAAGAAAGAAGACTTGTGTCAGCTCGCCAGTTGAAAGAATACCTACTTGGATTGGATGCAAAGGCGACAAAGGTAACCTATATATATAACCAGAGCATGCATTTTGAAAAGTGTGTTGATTTATTTTGAACTGATCTTAGTCCTGATTGCTACTTTTGATTATTAAATAATATATTATACATTGACTGTGTCCTCTGCTGAAAATCCAGGTCAGCAGGAGAGTAATAAAAATAAAATATCAGGATCAGGTGAAAGTGGTGTTGGTGAATTTAAAAAAATGCAAATTAAGTTCATGTTCAGGAGCTTTCAGAATGCTTTTGTTTTTATACTTAGCTGAAACATCAACTGTTGGTGATTTTTGTGCATGTCACAAGCAAAAATAGTGTTGAGAATAGATGCATATATAAAAGACAAATAGGATATATATATTTATATAATATGTGTAAATTTTGATTCCTCATGCACATTTTTCTGCTGAGTCAAAAAAGTTCAGTATTTTTTTTTTCGCAGCCAGTTGGCACCTCTGGTGTTGTCTCATGAAACGTTTTTAAAGACTGATTCTTTTTTGTTCGTGATAAATGTGTGGAGATTCATACTTCTTCCATATTGCGAGACTGAAAGTATAGTGTTTTATACATGTATATGTTTCAGAACAATTTGAGATCATAATATTCAGTGTACCCTTGTTTTGAGCGCTTAATGAGCCCTTGACTATGAATGTTTATAACGTTTGAAATCGATTAAAGTCGTTCAACCGTCCCTCCAGCAATTGCACGTTTCTGTCTTATGATAATGTTGTTTAAAAGGTACTATAGCTGCAAAAACTGTTTTTAAAATCATCTGTTATCATTTTCAATATGAAGTCTTGGGGAAACAGATCAGGAACAACCTTCGATCAATATGTTTACAAAGCATGTGATTCAAAATTATTGGTATGGGCAGTTAAAATGTGTGAGGACATGGTGGAATCAGGTGCTCATTAATTTTTGGGCATATGGAGTTAGAAGTCGTCTTAGAGCTTCTTCGCCATGCTTTTGATGAAAAAACACCCAGCTATCTTGAATTGTAGAAGCTGAGATATCGGCAATTGAAGGTGCGAGGGGTGACATGGTGTCAGAGGTCAAAACAGTAAGAAAATGGCTACCAAAATTTTGACTTCCAAAGCTTGAGTGTCTTTGGAAATGGCAACTTTACATTTTTTTTGTTCCTTGATCAACCGTTAAATTCACACAGAAATATGTTCTTGAATGGGTTTAAAAGGGGTGAGCCAAAGAGAAAAAGAATATAATAAAATATTAATTGCTGAGCTGGCGGAAAGATGTCTGTTTCCTCAATTTCATTATTTTGACGAATGCCTGATTTCACCACGGTGCCTCGCAAATGATTTTTTTGTGGAATCAGTAGCTGAAGTATGACTGTATAAGTATAGTATAAGACCATGGGAAATGCTAAGAAATTCATTAGTCTATTGTGCAATGCTCAAGAGGAGCTGGAGGTGTGTTGGCAGCAGTGCTCAAATCAAGGGTCTAAAAAAAAACCAAAGTGCTCTGCAAAAACAAGTTTTCCTTGCTTTGAAGTTTGATTTTTTGTTGCTTTTTGTGTCCCCCCAGTCCTCAAAACAGATTTTTGATGCCATGGACAGCCTCCAGAATGTGTTGTATGAAAGGTAAGAATTTTCAGCAACTGCTCTTCTTTTAAATTAAAACTTTTTTTTTAGTAACAGCAGGGAATAAAAAAAAATCCAGGTAACCTTATCTGATGTATTTGTTAAATTCATCTCAACTTTTGTGAAAGAGGGTAGCATTTACTTTGATTTTTATTTAAAGTTTTTGATGGCTATGAAAAAGTAGGCAGTTTTTTTTTCTTCATTTTTTTGTCTTGTAGTATGGAAAGAAAATGGTTCGGGGGGCTCTCGTGGCCTAGAGGTTAAGGTGTTGGCCTCTCATTCAAAGGTCCCGGGTTCGAATCTGGGTAGCGACCGAAAAATTTTCTTCTCTTAAATTGTCTCCTTTCACCTCTTTTCCTGCTCTCTAGCAATGTTCTGCTTTCGTCTCCTCTTTCTGCCCCCACCCCTTCACCTCCTTTGCCCCCTCCTCTGGGCTCCTGACTCTTTCTGCAGCTTTTCTACTGCTACTCCTTGACTCCTTCTTACAGCTGTCTTTCTGCCACACCCCTGATCTTCTGGTAGGAAAGATCTACACCTAGCCTTCTCGGACAAGGGCGAAAAATCTCGGAGGGCCCGTGTGCAAGTTGCGCACGTTAAAGATCCCTTGGTGGTCTAAAATCGATAAGAGTAGGCTTCGGCCACCACCCGGGCAAAATTCAAAATTTCCTACCAACTAAAGGTATTAGGTGTGTCCTGCGCGCTCATATGACCTTATGCAGTTGTGAGCGCCGCAAAACACAAACGGAAAAAAAAGAAGAAAAAAAAAAGAAAATGGTTCTGGATGATTTCCTCAAATCCGTGGTGTCCTGCTAAGGCAAAGGGTTTAAAGATCAGTTTTTAGGTCTGTGGTTCTGATTGTGAGGCTGAAGCTGAGAGGCTAAAGACTTTCAATAATTGTGTAAATTCTTTCTTCTTTTTTTTTGGTAGTCTGGTGGGTACAGTTAGATTAAGTGTTGTACTGGATATTTTGAATGAAATATATAGCTTCTCTTTCTTTAGGTCAATGTATTAAAAACAAACAGTATCAATGCACTGCTTAGTATTATCAAATTATATTTTGTTCTTGACAGATGCAGTAAGGAATTGAAGACAGAGGTGTCATCCTGTATTGGTTTGCTTGGGAGTCGCTTGGGACAAGATATTCCAGGGTTAGTGTTTTTTAAAGATGTTATTATGTCAAACATGCAAAGTCAAATCAGTAAATGTTTTGCTTACTTCAAGGTATGTTTAAAAATCATAACTTGTTCGTAGTGCCTGAGTGATTATATATTATAGTGAAAATATCAACTTAATACAGTCGAAAATGTCTAGATGGCCACTCATTGTCGAGGAAAAAAGTGGTTATCTTAGTCAGATGGATGTCATTCAAAGTGTCATTATAATGGTAAAAAAAAAAATCAAAGGGGAATTGAAAAGTGAATGCTTGAACAGCTGGTTGCTTTATACAGATGGCCATTAGAGCAGATTTGACTGTAGTTTGAAATCAAAATGTAAACTTTTGTCAATGAGTATATGCAGTGGAATAGTTTCGTCCTGAGTTTTTAAATCTGTGACCTTACTTATATTTCCATATTTTCTTAAAAGTATCCACAGTGAATAATATTTCTCGGTACTTAAGCATCAAATGTTTATCCTGATTTGCTTACTTTTACTTCGTTGAAACAGAATTTAGTCATTAAGAATGTGTTTCGAGGTTATTTATACAAATGAGAAAACATAAATCTTTTTTTTTTTTTTAACCCATCATGTTTTCTTTTTGTTATCAATAAACTCGTGTTTATTGAAATGGAGTTTCTGTTTTACATGCGCTTTGTTTTTTTGTTTTTTTTTCTCCAGTTTCTTCGACTGGGTGTTCACAAATGTGAATGCATCTGATGTTGATGTGAAGACACATGTCTGCCGATCTTTGTTAGAGGTAATCATTAACATTTTTTTTTTTCCTGAATGAGGTAAACATTTGCATTAGACTACCTAACATATTTTAACTCTTTTTATCCTAGCTGTACCCCCACGGACTCTGTACCAGTCCTGGGGCCGTATGTGTCGGAAGTCAGTGCGTATAGTTCAAAGTGCTATATTTCTTACATTTACTCTAAGGTTTAAAGGAAATTTGGCAGTTATGTTAGAAATTGAATGTAGTTTTTGTAAATGTATGTAGTTAGGAAATACACCAATAGCACAATGTAGATTTTGAGGTGTATTCAACCCTCGAACTTGACCCTGATTGCCGCGCCCACGACGTCCCTTTGGATTTTATAGATTCTAGATCTAGCCCTACCCATCGAGCACGAATTCCAGTACTGACCCCTTCACCATGATCTGAATCGCGATTAGATGAGTCTAAGTCCTGTTTCTTATCATCCACAACGGAATTTGCGGCACTTATTTCAGAGTCACTTTCATCAAATTAGTATCATTCCCCCTTACAACCCAGCGCCACTTCCAAAAGTACTTCGTCGGTCGTGAATACGCGTTTTCGAGACATCTTTCAAGCTTCTACACCCATCAAAAACAAAGAAACCACTGTTTATTTGAAAATTAAAATATTCAGACAGAGCTAGCATCGCCGTATTTGCGTATTTTGGTAATTACAAGGAGAACTAGCTTCTTTGACGTGACTGTATCGCTGTTCCGAGAATACTCGTAGCCCGGACTGGTCCTCGTTACGAGTTTACTTGTAGCCCGGATAAAAAAGAGTTAAAGAAAATGCTCTTGCCATATATACTGGTTCATAAATACTCGCGGATGATGCAATTTATGGCATAATTTGGACCTTTTTGTGGGTATTCAGTTAGTATGTGAAGAGTTGCCCCTGGTTGTTGTGAAGAGTAATTTCAGAATATCTAATTAAAAGCCAATATAATCTTCCTGATACGTACATGTTGTAGTGGTCTTGTGGGCCGTGTTTTTTCTTTTTGGTTTGTATAATGTATAATACAATATTCCTTTCGGGTCTTTGACTTTAGTACAGGTTTTATCAAGTATTTCCTTGTTGTGAATATTTACTTGCAGCTTCACACAGGTTGTAAATATTTTTTCTCTCTGGCCACAGATGCTGAAGCAAGATGAGGTTACTCAGAGAGCAAGAGACTGCATGATGGTATGGAATTAATGAAATTGTTATGGAGTTTTTGTTTTCTTCTACTTTCAAATGCTTGTTTTCTTTGATTTGACTTGTAAGAAAATTTGTTTCCTTTCTAAGAACGATGTGTTTTGGTGTAGGTTTTAAAACTTCACTGTACTTTTATGCGAAAAAAAAAAAGGATAGATTTTGGTGCAGCATATTTACTTTTAAAAATATACAACTAGAACACTCAATATGATGAATCCTATTACCTGTGCTTCAAACATGGAGAAGGGAAAAGCACAAACAAGGACTGTCTTTCAGTTACAAGGGATTTGTAATTAGAAATATCATCTGAACAAAAATTGATTGAAAACGGCATTGGATAAATGGAACACTGCCATTAACCCTTTTTTAATGGTAGCTAGGCTTTGATGTAATCAATGTTTGTTTTTTGTTTGTTTTTTCATTTGTAACAAATGCTTCTGGAGTATAAAAGATTGGCATTTTTATTTTATGAGTCGAACTCTTTACTTTTATAATGACCTCTAAGATAAAAAACGACCCAAAGATGCAAGATTGTTCTTGATAGTGGACCAAGTATTCATGTGAATGAAGAGGTATTTTTAGGTATTTTGCTCATTTTATTTGAAGTTAAAAAAAAATCATTTTACTTTTCATATAAATAAAGATATATAGATCTATCTATAGGTATTCTGATAGTTTTATTTGAAGTTTTAAAATTGTTTAAAAAAATTATATGTCATCAATCAGTCATATTTTTCTGTCTTGTGTAGAATGTAATGATCAGCATGCAGCAACTTCTGGAGTCAACCAGCTCATCAAGCCTGCTTATGATGGTCATTGACATTATTCTGATGATTGCGAAGGTCTACCCTCATGTCTTCAGCTCATACTTTGGGGTGAGTGACTGTAAATGCTTCACTGCTAAACTCATATGCATGCAGTATTGCAGGAATTGTTCAAGTATTCGCTCAGTCCCTAGGAAAATGTTTAATTTTGTTGTACATTTGAAAATATCAGAGAAAGCTTCCAGTTACAATATATGAAACAATGCGTGTGGTCAGTCAGGGATGGAAAATTTTCTTGCACATACAGTCGAACCTGCTTTTATGGCAGACAATCACTTGTACAAATATTCACTTTCCATTTGCCCCCTTGCATTCATTGTTTTCTATATTCAAATGATGCTGTTCAAGACATTCATCCATCTAAGACAACAATAATTAATCTTCTCGGCAATGAGTGGCTGTCTTTGGACAATTTTGACTGTATTTATGTTCATACTTTGAATATGGTACTTTTCTCCTGATTGCTGAAAGATTGAGGGCTCTATAGATTGTGCTTGATCATTGTAGTTTAGGTCCTGTTTCAAATGGGGGAAAAGTATTACCAGTTTTTGCTCAGTCAGTCTACAAAAGTGGATCTGTGTTTAAAAGGTTCAAATATTCAAGATTTTGGTAATATGAATGGGCATAGCCCAAGAGTGACTGCAGTTGGTCTGGTCCCACCACTGTAAATGTGATGTTGATATGACAAGAGAGTTTTACTGTGTGTCGGAAAGGGCTGCTTTCAAATGCCTCAGAGCCATCTTTTTTACTTTATTTTTTACTAAATGAACATTCTTGCATGTGGCTGTGTAACACATTCTGCTCTTGTTCCTCCTCCACAGGAGGTGGCTGACATTCTCATTGGCTGGCTGATTGACCCAACTCAAAGCATGCTGCTCCTGGAGCACATCTCGGCAGCTCTGGTACAGCTGCAGCCCTTCTGGATCTCTGACATCCAGTTCTCCGTCATGCTTCTGGGCCAGTTCACTGAGGACCTGGAGATTCTACTTGGACAGGTGACTAGACTATATGAGTTATATTGATACCCATTGTCTCACATACTCTGCTTTCTTTGATTAAATCGAGGTATATATCGACTGCTCAGCATAAAACTCCTGTCCTGTGTCACTTTTCAAATCAGTGTATGACAGAGTCTTTACGCTAAGCAGTCGATAGATTGCAGTAATAAAAAAACAGATATTCACTGGTAAAATAGTGAATTTTTTTCGCTTTAGCACCCAATTTACTGATGTCAGAGATGGAATTAATCAGTTAATAGGATTTTATACAGGCTTGCCAACTGTCCCAAAGTTCCTGGAACTATCCTGGATTTGACAATCAGGAATTGAAAAGCCTGATAGCCTATACTACCCCAAAAACCAGTCTCTTTTTATGTATTTTGTTTGTTTAAAGGTAATCTGAAGTTATCATGTACTGTTGGGTGCCCTTATTGGGTTTTGAAAAATATGGCAAGCCTGTTGATAGTTTTGATTTTCTTGGGAAACTTAATAGTACTTCTGTTCTCAGCCTTATTCTGTTACAGATAGATATAGAACCACATGCCCCCATACTCTAAACTGTATTTTGGCAATTGGTCTAAGACGTGAATTAATTTAAGTCTGTAAGAATTCATTTTTGTTTCCAGAAGTGTTGTACAAGATGTGATAGTTAAGAAGTGGCTTCAGTTTTGCACATCCCATTTTCTGGACATGTCTATGTTCTGAAATGTTTTCAGTGTCATCTTATAACTGAATGTTGTGTGTACTTTTGCTTCATGTTACTTCTTCCTCTTGGCAGGATTTGAACCAAGCCCTGGCGGACAAGTGTCAAGAAACCGTAAAAACTGTCTCAGATAAGATTGCTGCCATCCTACGGGTCTTCTACACTGTGGTGCTGAGCCTGGGTGACTCTATTGGGACGATGAGGGGTGGACAGATCACCATGGAATACCTGATGCAGGTGAAGGGTTTTATTGTGGAAGTACGTTTGATTAGCTTTTGAGCTTGCTAAAGGCTCTGAAAGGGTGTTTGAATCACCCTTGTATCGGCGTATGTGCCATCGTGTTTAGTTCCCGAATGGGGATAATTTTTATCTAGTATCTGGGTCTTACATTTGCAAAGGAGAAAAGATCAAACAAGCCCAACAGTTTAAATATCTCGGATATATGATAACATCTGAAATAAAAAGGAGAACTGCAATGGCTAAGGCTAGTTTCAATAAAATGAGCCCAATCCTGAAAAATAGAACATCTCAATGAACATTAAAATGAAAGTCCTGAAATGCTATGTTTGGTCAACCCTTCTATATGGCTGTGAATGCTGGACAATCACTACAGACAGTGAAAATAATATAAAAGCAACAGAAATTTGGTTTCTTAGGAGACTGCTAAGAGTATCGTGGAAGGAAAAGAAATCAAATGAGGTAGTGCTTGATGAAGCCCACGTGGGACGCTCAATGTTAAAAACAATCAGGAAATTACAAATGGGTCTTGAACACCTAGCTCTCACTGGCAAAATTGAGGGCAAGCGAGGCAGGGGAAGGCGCAGAACAACATACTACACCTGCATGCTTGCCGACAGTCGTCTGAAATCCGACAATCGCGACCAGACCCGCAAGCCGGCCGATGCTGTCGCTAGGCCCACCTGTATCAGTCAATGTGCGTAGTGTGAGGCCTGGCCGACTGCCAGCGCCCCCTTTTTCTCCTGTCGGCTTTGTCGGCACTTTCGTTTTAGTGCCGACAGCCGACTGCCGACGCCGGCGTTTCCGACATAATTGTCGGAACCTGAGTAGAAATGCGAATACGAAAACAGACGACGACTTAAATTATCTACTTTCAGTTTCGTGCTCGAGCGGCCATTTTGAATTTCGTTTGTTGACTAATTCAATTGTTCAGATCGTGTGGATTCATTCAAGTCCGACTCACTTGTTCTAATAGAATGTAGATCTAGATTTCTAGATTTATATAGATCATTATAGACCTCAATGGGGGATTCATATTGCAATTCTATTGTGTCAAACCCTATCATAAGTTGTGCTGTAATATTAATGTTGGTAAAAAGCATTTCATCAGGTGCGTGAATTATTTATTTTTTTAGATTCTAGACTCAGCTGAGTCCCTCTGTTCGGAATCGGATGCGGATTTCTAGTTCAAGGCCTATTCCTATTCACTTATACAAGATCTAGATTTAGATCTAGGTTTATTTGTATTACTAGATCTATATGGAGGATTCATATTCCAATTCTATTGTGTTATTGTATCAAACCCTATTATAGCAATGTAGATGTAGGCCATATTATGCTCCTAGTTTGTTTTGGATTGTGGTTTTAAAATATTTTTTTTCTTTTTTCATTTTGGACTTGTGCTGGCCTTTTTACATGAGGCCCGTTGCAGGTTCTTTTTTGGGGTAGGGTTAGGGTTAGGTCTCTTCTTTGTTGTGTTTGTTGGGGTGGTCGCTCGTTACTCGGAAGTCCTTCCTTATGACACCCACAAAAGCTCCTCGGGAGGGGAATATTCAGACAATCTGGTTCAGGCTCACATTCAGATCTACAACATACTTAGGGAACCTAAACAAATGGGTAACAGGGAAAGATCAGGGAAACATAGCTTTTTTGAGAGCATCCGAGCAAAGGAATGAATGGGAAACCATGATCGCCGATGTCTGTCGCAGATCTGGCACTGGATGATGATGATGGGATATAGTACCCCTCTCAGCGTGGGTTGGCCCTTACAGGCAGGGTCGAAGCCTGCCTTGTAAATGTTCTAGATTATGTTGATGGGGGTGTGTAGAATCACCTACATGTACATGTATCTGTACCTCCCTTGTTTGTTGTTATCATGCTGTTAGCATCACATGAGTGGTCTCTGAGAAGTCTGGTTTTGCGTGCTCCTTTTGCTTCCTTACAGTGGTCTTGCTGCTGTTGTTGTCATCTGTTTCTGTGGGTGGTGCTCTGGTGTGGTTTGCTTCTTCTTTCTTACCAAACAACTGTCTTCATTGATACTGTGTTATGTTTGTAACTTTCTTTGAGGAGCTGCAAAAATAAAATCCATTAATGTTCTTCACAGCTTCTGAAGAAACTTCTGGTCAACCTAACTCCAGCATTAAAGTCAACCAAGGCAGAGAATGTTGTCCTACTTGGTAAGTAAAAATGACCCTCATTCTCTTCATGGATGATATATCTTTTAGTACTAGATACTTCTGTCTGTCTTCATTTCTTCCAATAGACTCATTTTTCTACAATCTTTTTGTACTTTTGTTTCTCTTCATTTCTTCCAACAGATACATTTGTCTACAATCTGTTTGTTACAGTTACAAGAGTTGAATTTTTTATAGTCTTTTCATGAAATCAGAAATACAAAAATAACACTTATGCTAAAAGAAAATTCAGTATAGGCTCTAAGAATTGCAACTGCAGGTCATAGGTTCAAATTCCACATGGACCTGAGGGTTGCTTCCTTGGAAAGGACACTTGACAAGAATTTTCCTAACTTCATCTAGGTGGGAATTGGTACCCAGCCATAGACAGTGAGAAATCTTGTCAGTTTGTTAGTGTTTTAGCACATGCAATCCCCAACTTGCACTGTATGTTTCCTGGGAAGCTGAGAATGTTTTTAAGCATTCTTGAGTTTGCTGGGGTAATAACGTTGTAAAGCACATAGAGCATACTGTAGAGCATTGATATGCGCTATATGATTATGATTATTATTATTATTATTATTATTATTATCTCTGCTTTTTGGTTCATTTTAGAGATTTTACTTTGAAAAATACCTTTCTCTCTCCGAGACCTAACATTGACAACACACTCTATGGAACATTACAGCAACTGCAGCAAATCTGCACTTATCACTACATGGATTTGGATACAAGGGCGAGAGCCCAGCTGTTGCTGGATCGATAACAACAACTATTTTGAAAAAATGTATGATGAATGAATATATGAGCAGAAAAGAAAAATTGATAACCAAAAACTGTTTGCCCAGGCAATGACTCTGTGCGTCTGCTGCTGCACCAGTTGTCGGCCGAGTGCGCCACAGCCTGCGGGGAGGACATGCTGGAATACGTCATCTGCCAGAGCACAGACACCACAGTACGCACCGACTCTGTCATTGTGTCTCTCCTCCGCTTGCTGCAGAAGGTGAGCTGTAGAAAAACAGTAAACTGAAAATCTTTAATGTGTCCCGCTCGCTCATATGACCTTATGCAGGTGCGAGCGCCGTAAAACACTTACCCAAAACACCCCCCCCCCAAAAGTATGCTGGGTTGTGCTGTGTACGGTTGACACTGTTTTGTTCCACTGTATTCTTGAACTTGGGTTGTTTGTAGAGTTTTCAAAGCTCTTCACCTGAAGATCTCCTTTAGAAGATGAACGCTGAATGTGAAGTTCCTGCCAGCAGAGTAACTTGACAGTGTTCAAAGGGGCATACAATTTCAATATATATATAATATTTTTAAACCTTCAGTGTCCTGAATAGTTCCTTTACTATTGTCTTAAGTCAGCCTTTATTTTTAGTTGAAAAACTTTTGAATACTCACCATAATATCTTTAAGATTTTTTTTAAAATGTGGATGTGTTTTGAAAGAAATAAAGGTAGGTAAATAGACATTGAGAGAACTTCATGTTTGGTATACACAGCTTCAGTGTAATATTTGAACAAAAGCCTGCTGTCTCTTTTAGATTTGAAAAATAATGTCTCATTTCCAAAAGGACTTTATTTTTCATTTACAATTGCAATACCATGTATGTATTGATGTTTCAGGTAGTGGAAGTGTTTGGTACCCAGCTCCCAGATGTGTTGCTGACAAAGTTACTGGGTCCAAGTTCTGCTTTGCCTGCGTGTCGATTTTCACACTGTGCTCAAGTAAGTGAAATCATGCACCCTAACCTGAATAACAATAGGTTTTAGAAAATTCTTTTTCGGTCTACATTTGAGTAACTCTGTTCTCATGTTGGGATCTATTTAAATGCCTCAAAAGATTCTTACCCTGTGTGTGCGGGTTGCAAACCATGTCGCGAAAGTTGGTTTAAAAAAATATTTTTTGGTCTAGATTGGGGTAACAGTATACTCATGATCAATATGAGCACCTCAGTTGAATTTAACCCTTTGAGTGTGGTTTGCGACCACTGATAAAACGAAGTATGAAGCTGAAGACGCGGAAGTTTGTAAACTGCTGGATACTCGTCAACACAACATTGATTTTGATTTTACTCGCCGTTATGGGTCTCTTCGACTGAAAACAATGCTGATTGAATCAGGGTTTTTTTTTGTGCTGGTATTTTTACAAATTGGAGGCAAGAAGAAACATAAATGTATTTGAACAGGGGAGTGATGATGTGTGCACAATGCTTTTGATTCTAATCGTTTTAAAGGTTTTGTCCCAGCAGTAGTTGCTGTGTTAGATAAAAGGTTTTCGTTGTGGGGGTATCATAGATGTTTGGCTTTTGTCCTGAGGACGATGTGCCCCCCGGGCAGTGCTACTGACTGAAGTGTCTTTAGGCCATTCCCAAAGTGGGGATATTAGCATGTTCTTATGCACTGTAAAACTGTAAATGCGCTGGTTTATCAATGTCTTTCTCATACTGTGCCGGAACAACATAGAGGGAACAGCTCCTTTTCTTTCCTCATCCTTACTATCGTCATTTTTCCTCTACTTCTTTAGTATATTTGTCACTTTCTTGTGAACTGCTATTTCCGGGATGCTTTGACAAAGTAGATTTTGCGCTGTTGAGGTTAGAGAAGTCAGCAGAGTAAGCCTGATTCCCCTGTTGGACTTCTCTGTTGACATCCACCCCTTGGCGCTCATATGACCGTATGCAGTTGCGAGTGCTGTAAAACCTTACTGAAGCAGAAGATGTTCCTATTCTCAAAGATGAACCATGAGGATGAATTGTTTGATAGTCTTATTTTAACAGAAGGACCTTGGCTGAATTGGGTCTTAGAAATCTACATATTTAGACACTTCGTCCAGTTTGCTTCAACTTTTTCTCTTGCCAGGTTTTGACGGAGCTGATGGCCATGTATCTCTCGTTGTTGTCTTTGAAAAGTGTACCCCTTTTGGAAGAAGCTTACAGGTAATAGTTTTACCAAATTTCCTTTAAAAATTTTTTAAAATTTATATTTTTTTAAATTGCTGTTGTTTTTGCTATTTAAGCCCCACAGTTCGATTCATCATTAAAAGCCAAAAGATGAATTCAGAACATCTGTGATGAATGATGAGAGTGTATTATGCTCAAAAGATAAAGGTATTTGTATATGGGAGCGATTAATTAAAAGTATGAATATGTGTAGTGGAAAAGTGCTGTGGAATTGCTTTCCATTGAAAATTTAGTTGTTGTTTTATTTCTAGTCTCTTTTGTCTTTGAAAAATGTATTCAAATGTACATCATAAAATATTTTCAATATTTGAATGGAGATTTTATCTTATGATTTGTTTGACCATTTTAAGATTAGATTTTCAGACTACGACTGAAACAATGTATTGACACTTCCAACTTCTACAGCATGTGTTTGGGCTATACTGCTGGCTCTCAAAGATTGCTTGGTTGACAACAATGTCGTCCCTGATACCCCATGCACTCGTTAATGTATATGATTTTACACTTCTTAAGTTTTATATTTAATTCTTGGTATCGATTTTGAGGAGCTATTTGCTTTTGATCTATTCTAGTATCTCATGAAGAATTTAAGATTCATTTTCTGTTACTTTCTTTTTTCTGATTACACTTCAATACTCAACAAAAATGTCTGATATACATGACATGGGCAAGCATTCAGGGTATCATCAGGCTTATTTCCCAGTTTAGAATGTCTGTAGACTTTATTGCATTTCTATTACGCCTTTTTTGTGTGTTCAGACTTGTGCTGAGTGATATGGAGGTTGCCTACAACACACTGCTGGTTGCTGGAAACAAGGAGGCCATGCACCTAGTCAGTGGAGAGAATCCCTTCAAGGAGTTTGTGTTTAGCAGACGGCAAGCTCAATTGGCCATCATGTTTGACCTCGGGGCTCTCACAGAGATCGCCAACACCAAGAGCAACCTGATCGGGGTAGGCTATATTGAAAAGAATACAGAATACTACAGGATAGAAAGAAAACAACACATCCATGGTTGCAAGTACAAACCGTCAAACTTGGGAGATGTAATTTTTACAGGACAAAAAACATGTTCTCGAAACAGGCGACAGAATGTCGATGCTTTGTTCACATGACTTTTTGGCACATTATGAAAATAGACATTGTTTGAAATGCTGTTTTTTTTCTTTTTCTGAAAAGGATAAAAACATCAGAGGGCAATTCAGAGTTAGATTGTTTTTGCCAGAGGCCAATAATGATATTTTCTAAATACAAGAGTGTTCTTTTAGGAACATTAAGGTTTTTGGATACATGGAAGTGCATGATTTTTTTGGTTGCAATTTTTGTTTAAAACAACATGTTGACATGTGAGTCTATCAAACATTTGCACAGCAACGGTGATCATAATGTCTTTCTAATAAAAAAAAATTGCATAGATTTCTCATTAAAATTTTGTCGTTATATTTTTCTTTCCCCTCAGATGTGGGCTCTCTCTCCCAGCATCTTCAACCTGCTGTCTCGCCACCTGCGGGTCACAGACTGCTGGATGAACACGCACCACTCTCAAGTGGTTTACACGACACTCCATGCCTTCTTCTCACATTGCAACAGGTAGGGAACAAGAAAAGTAGAAGAAGCTGTTCATACCTTTGTGGTCGTGTTGTGTTGAAAATAAGTTTGTTTTTCCATCACTGTCACTATGTATGAATGGACAAAAATGGGTTGGGTTTTTTTCTCTCAGTTTTTTAAATTGTTTTTGTTACTCAAGATGCATGCTTCTGAGTTACAGTGATGCTTTGCTCTCATTTCTTATCAACCCGTATCACCCTTGAGAACAGCATTGTCTGATATACGGAATCTGGGTAAGGTAACAGAACAGCGTTATCTGATTTATAATTTGGGTAAGGCGATAGAACAGCTCAAAAACAGCTTTGAGCGGTGTACAAAATGGAGAGGGGAGATAATTCTTCTTTTTTTTCTTGGCTAGCAACTCCATAATTTTTCTTGTGACATTTCTGTCTTTTATGGTGAAAATGTTACTTAATTTAGTACCATGAGGCCAAGGTCTCATGTAATGATAGGGTGAAATTGTCATCTAATGGGATACCTTTAGGAAAAGTTGTCACTGAATGGTATACCTTTTAATTGCGAATTGTATATCTTGCTCAGTTGGGATTTCTGGTTCTGTCTGGGTGTAAACTTTTCTTGATAATCGTGCAAGTTCTGAGATGCTGTGAGGATGTGTTAGGTGTGGGTGATTGGCGGATGCTCTGGTGTGGTTTCTTTCTTCTTTCCTTTCAAACATGTATCATCCCTACCTCTTCTCCTTCATTTCTTGTTATATTATTCTCTGGAAGCACTTTTAATCTTTGACCCTTATATGACCTAATTGTGTTTCAAGTGCCATTAAAACTCTGTACAAAAATTAAAAACTAAGTATTCTTGGTAAGTCAGTTCTATGATGAGTTTTAAATTTTACTTTTCTTCCCAGACATGGCAACTTTATCTCAAGCAGCGTGCTTCTGTCGCCCCCGGGCCCCGTGGACTCCACCAGACTGGCCACCATGAGTCAGGCCACCAGTCAGAACTTCTCGGAAATTCTCCGCATACTGGTCACCCTGCTGGACAGCTCCTGCACTGCATTTGACTGTCGGTGAGTGAAGTTGTGGTTTGCTCCTTCTTTCTTATCAAACAGCTATCGTCGTTATTGTTTTGTGTGATGTGCATACAACTTAATTTAATAAATGAAGAGTCAGAAGAGTGAGATTCAACAGATAGGTCGTGTTTAATGTTTACTCACTGGACAGGAAGTTGTTTGACAGTTAGGACGTAGTTCTATCCTTATGTCAACTCGAGTAACTTCACAGTGACTAAATACACGTAACACTTATCTCTCCTTTTTTTGGGTTATGTTTGCTACGCTCTAGTAACGCCTCTGATCTTTGGAACTTATATGTAGGCGCAGTGATTTGCTTTTCTTTACGATTTTGTTATGTTAAGATGTGATTATTTTCATTCCTTGTGTTGGTTGAAGTTTAACTCTGAATGACAATAAAGTGTCACAAGTAAGTGACATTTTGAAAGTGGGATGATGGCGAGTTAGTCTTAAAACATCATCTCAGTGCATTTTAAATATCAAATTTATTTTAATTGGAAGTCACCTGTTCCATTGATGGATATTGTATGTGTCTCTCTCTAGTTAAAATGTTCTGTGCTAGAAGAAACTATAGTCTTCATATTCTATCTCTGTTTTCTTAGTTTGGTAGTCTTTTTCTAAATAAACTGTAATTATATAAGAGTTTAGTTGTTACTCTTCGTCATCTTTATTGAAACAATTGCCTAACATTTTTCTGCAGCTGCCTGCTGATGAAATGGTCCTCAGACATTGTAGCCGCCCTTGCTGCAATTCCCCATGTGTACACGCTACCAGCTCTTCATGATTTGATCAATTCCGTCATCCTGCAAGGTAGGAAATGTCTGATCTCATAAGTTTCCCAGTCTATCCCACAGTTTATAAATGTGTAAATATCTATGTATTTTGTCACACATTTAGGAATGGTTTTAAGTATTGTTGAATGATTTTTTTTTTTGTACCTTCGATGATTTTTGAAGGGATGATGATGAGGATCAAGAACACATTCAGTGGATTATTTTTTATTTTGTTTTATTTTGGGGTTTTTTGGTTGAAAAACTGTGGTTTGTTAAAGTTAGGGTCCCCATTTTGTGTATTTCTATTGTGGTTACAATTGTAATGAATGCTCTTTTATTTACAACTGTATAAACCCTTTGATCTGATTTTAACAGGGTACCACAGGGAACAGCAGATCCTCCAGTGTTCTGCTCAATGGCTGAAGACCATCTTCAAAGCAACAACAAACTTTGATCATTCTGTTGTGAAAAAGTAAGTTTCTCTATTTTGATATTCCTTTTTTTTTATTGAGGGGAAGTACATGTATTTGATATTTCATTGTGAATTGTTCAAATGAAATAATATAGAATGCAATGTTGACAATGATTCTTTTTTTTCTTTTTCTTTTTCCCCCCCCCCCCCCCCCCAATATTCAGTAACTGATCTATTTGTGTGTAGAAACCAGCCTGGAAAGTTGGTGGACTGAAAAGCATGATGTTTTAGCCTGATGTTTTGGTCTGATTTTTTTATTCTTACTTTATTGCATTGGAATATCATGGCTGGTGCAAGAAAACTGACTTTGCTTAAGGAGATTAGTAAAACATTTAGAGCTTTTCCTTTTTCTCTTTACAGCAACATGCTCATGTTTTTGCTTATTTGTTTTTATGTATCATATTCCGTTGTTTCCTCCCTCTGCACTACTTTAGGTGTGCTGAATTGTGTGTGTATCGGATCAGTGACACCCGCAAAACTGTAAGGGAGTCTTTCCTGTCCCTGCTGAAGATATTACCTCTTGACAAGATCATCAAGTAAGTAACTCAAGACAGTATTACATTCACATAGTGCTTATTTAAAGTACTGAATAGCCCTGGACCAATGTCCGCAAATTCACTTGTGACTATTGTCAGTTAGCAACGAGCATGTTTGCTTAATTTTCTGTGACATACAGTTGAAATTGCGAAAGAACACATGAATGCACCCACATAATTAACTTGAGTAACAATCAACAAGACCATTGATTGTTTACCTTTGAAACATTCATAAAGATTCATTACAGTGGCCACCCATTGTCAAGGAGAAAAGTGGCCATCTTACACAATGTCATCATAATGTTAAAAAAACACAAACATGGCAAGGTAGCAAAAAGGGAGTGGCGGTATTTACAGGTGTCTTATACAGGTGGCCCGTTAGAGCAGGTTCGGCTATTATGTGGAAAATTTTATCTCGGGGAAAAGTTGCAATGGTTTCTTTTAGGTATGTGTTAAATAAGGCACTACCTCTTAACTTAAGACTTTTTTCTTTCCACCTGAGGCTGATTTAAATTGTTCAAATGAATGGAAAATTTTAATAGCAAAGTTACTAAAATTTCTCCAGCTACTGTAAACCCAACCAAAAAAGAAAGTGTCAGTTTCAAACCAAGGGTCTTTACTTATTTATTGTCTTTTTTTGTCAGTATGGGCCTGTTTCAAGGAGAAGAAGAGTGGATGTCCAGTGAGAGACGCAGCAAAGAAGTGGGCTTGACCTCTGTGTGGCATGTGAGAAGGGCCCATATGGCCCAGGCTCCCTCAGGCCACTTTCACTCTCACAATTTCAGGCACATTATGGCCTTCATACTCAACGGGACTCAACCAAGGTGAGATCATATCCATCTGTTGTTTGTTCTTGTTGTTTTGTTTTATGATGACCTCGTTTATTGCAATAAATCAAGTTTGTTATAAGAATTTGGGCCTTTAACTTGGCATGCCATCCTCACAGTGTATATGGTCGCTTTTAAGGACAAGCGGGCTAAACCATATTTCGAGGGTTTCCAGAATTCTTGAGAAAACTCTTCTTGTATTTTAAAGAAACTGAACAAGGGGCAAAAATTTTACCTTCGATTTTCTCAGAACAGCATTTTTCGGGATAGCCCACTTGTGCTTAAAAGCAATCATATAGTGTTATGTCTACACATCTGCTGAATTGTGTCCCAAGCTCTTTTAGAAACTGAGGCAAATATGACTTGTGTTCGTTTAGGTTTTCCCTCACCTTTCATCCTCTTGCCTTCTAAAAGTGACTTTTTAATCAGTTGATCTTCTATAGCATAATGTAATAGAGTTGCTGTTCCCATCATGCTGGGCTCAGTTGAAGGAAAGTCATTTTCAGGATTAAGTGTAATGTTTGCTCTTCTTCTGTTTGAACTCCCCCCCCCCCCCCCCCAGACTTTTGAAGCAAATAGAAAAAATGGGGGAATTATTGTTTTTTAAAAAATTTTATATACATGGATATTTCAGCCAAAATGGTAGCTTCCACTGGCTGGAGGCCATGTACCATGCCAAGCAAAGAAGCAACAGGCCCAAGGACAACTCTGATTGCTCAGTTGGCCTCACTGACATTGTAAGTAACTTGCTTGAGTTTTTGTGGGTTCTATTTCCATTTGTTGGGCTAATAGTGCAGATGACCATTTGACTTTGAGCTTGGTAATAAGTGGATGCTTCTTGTAGTTGAATACTTAGGAAAAAAACGGGGAACAAGATTAAAGATAATGGAAATGATGCTGAGAAAGGAAGGGCTCTAAAGAGGTTTTGATCATTGTCAGTATCTTGGTTGAAACTATGGTAATGAGTTTTTTAAATATTCTGTTACGACACATTATTTACTTTTAATGTTTGACTGGCCGCACAATTTATCCTTCTGATTGGAAAAAAATAAAAGAAGGGAAATTAGCACCAGTTCAGAAATTAAAACCTCTTTCCATGTTGAGTGATTTAACACTCTGCCGCCTCATCTTGCCAATTGGCGTTGTTTATCTCCTAATTTCTTTGGATTTTCCCCAAAATATGATGGCAAAGTGTTAAAGAAATATGTCTTTTGTTATGGTCTAGTTATTATTTTTGCACAAATTTATTGAAAATGAAAGTGTTGTCTTTCTCAGCTATCTTGAAAAATAGAATTTATTGTCAATGAGGCTCATCAGGAAGAGAGGGAATGTTGCCACTCATGAGACTAAAAATACTAACCTCATGTCTTGTTCAAACGTTTGGTTTTTGTGGACTGATTCTGCTGCTCTTGAGACAGCAAGCCTGGAAATGAATTTCAGACCGCCCCCCTCCCCCCAACCAGGTCAGTGGTACTGACTGAAGTTGTCTTTAGGCCATTCCCAAAAGGGAGATATTAACTTGTTCTCGTGCACAGTAGAATTGTAAATGGGCTGATTTATCAATGTCGTGCTTATACTGTGCGAGAACAACATCTAGGGGGAACTGCTGCTTTTTCTATTCTCATCCTTACTATCGTCACTTTTCCTCCACTTCTTTTGTATGTTTGTCACTCTCTTGTGAACTGCTATTTCCAGGGTGCCTTGATAGTCGAAGCAGACTTTGTGCTGTTGAGGCTAGAGAGGTGAGCAGAGTAAGCCTGATTCCCTGTTTGGACTTCTGTTATCCACCCCTCGACGCTCATATGACCTTATGCAGTTGCGAGCGCTGTAAAACCTTACTAAAACAAATCTCAAACTTTGTGGTGTGTGGACTGTTTCAGATTGACAACAACGAATCCCTCCTGTGGTTCTGGGCCACCTGGGAGTGCGCTCAGTTTGCCATTCTGTCTCGCCTTCGGACCCCACTGGGAAAAGCCCCGGAGACGTTCATGGCCATTGAGGGAGTGATCAAGGCATTTGCTGCAGAGTCTCAGAGCTTTGAGGCCACGGAGGATGGGTCAGATAGGCGGGACGGAGGCAGAGGTATGACTGTTTATACGCGCTCTTGAGCCTAAGATTAAAAGAAAAGTTTTGAAAGCAGTACAGTTTTTCTATTTTCTGTGAGGAAAGGCTACCATGGTTTGTGGCGAGTTCAACTTGTAAATAATTACAATACATACAGTATTGTGGCTCTGAAATTCTCAATCTTATTTTGTTGTGATATGTTGTGGCTAGGAAATTCTCTCTCATTTTGTTGGGAAAGGTCTTGATGTGTATGCTGTCAAATATGGTACATCTGTTTTTGATCTTTTTATTTTGTTTGTCTTTTTCATATTCTTTTGGCTGCATTTACTGGTGTTGGGTCAACATCTTGAACACCACTTTTTGTGTTCAATACACTTAAGATTTTTTGCTGTTGATGTGTCTGCTAGTAAATCCTTGATATTGTTGTCTCTGAATTTTGATTTTATTTTGCTGAATAAATATTGTTGACCCCCTCAACAGCTTCTTCTATGTTTTGATGAAAAAAAGTTGTCGTCAGTCTTGCTGTGTTTAATTAAAGAAGAAAAACAAAGTACCAAAAGTAGCTGTAGCCTAAAAGTGATTGATCTGTGCTTGTAACCCTTTTGATTTATTTCCTTTTTTACAGGTGAAAAGGTTGGAGAGTATGTCTGCCTGCAGAGGGTCCATCTCTTGATGAATTTCATGAAACATCTGGAGAAATTGCTGTACAATGCCTATGAAGGGTGTGCTGTGGCTATGCCACCAGTACACAAGGTACTGTCCATGAATATTCTTGTCAGATTTGATGATTTACTCCCATTTCTTGAATTTAGTGAAAAAAAATTATTTATTAATTAACAGTAGAAAACTGAAATTCTGAAGTTTAGTTGGTTTACACATAGTTTGTATTTTTGTATTGTAAAACAAATTAGTTGCTTTCTTATCTTTTTTGTTCAATGGTTTTTGTTGTTTTGTTTTCCTAGAAACATGTTAAATGTTTTGTAGGCAGAGTGCATGTCTCAGTGGTTCCAATATTGGAAAAGGACGAAGGAGCAAGTTGAGGGAGAGACCATAGTAGATGTTCGTTGTGCACAGCTAAGTGTAGGTTACACACTCCTTCTTGTTTGCCACGGGACAATTTATATCCCGCGTCAGATCTTCTCACTGAACGTTTCTGGTTGATTTGCTGTTAATGAAAGAATAAAAGATGGTTGTTACATTCTTTTGTAGAAATGAATTTATTAATATTCTTGCTTTTGATTTGCTCTTTTCTCTCTTTTTTTTTAAGATTGTGAAAACGTTCTTCCGGACAAACCGCAACACATGCCAAGAGTGGCTGTCCCGTATTCGGATGTCTCTGCTGACCATATCTGTCCACTGTGGCATGTCTGCCCTGGCGGTGAGACAAGGTTTTGAGCTCCTGCGTGACATGGATGATGCTGGAACCACACAGGTAAACAGATAGCACAAGCTGGCCCCCCTTTCGATGAAAGGAATGATCGGTGCTTTAATATCAACTAAAAGTCATTGGCCTACTATATTTACACTCTACTGGAATGGTACAATAAATCTTGAGAGATGCTAAAAATTATAAGGTCTAGATCTATACTCACAAAACAAAATGCGCCTTGCGAAATATCACTTCTGGATTTTCTCAAATTACCAAGACAGAAGCGTCGGCCTACAAAAGCGATCAGCGAAATAAAGAAATTTAGGTTTTTGCAGCAAAACTGTCTCTAAACTGAAAAGACGAAGGGCGTCATGCTCTGGAGAATATTTTAAAGAATCTTTTGGCGAAAATCGCATGTGGATCGATGCAGCCATTAAAAAGCCTTTTGAATAGCAAAAATCGGCCACCACAAATAGATAATAGATTTGTATAGCGCTAATCCCTGCTCATCAGCAAGCTCTATGTGCTTCACAATCTATATTCTTACCCCAGCAGACCTGAGAGCATTCTGAAACAATCTCAACTTCCTAGGAATCATACAGTAGTGCAAGCGGCCATTTATAGTCATTATGATGTAAAAAAAAAGACGCAAGGGGAGAAATGGGAAGGGGCCGCTTGTACAGGGGTTGTCTTATACAGGTGATTGTCTTATACAGGTGGCAGTTAGAGCAGATTTGACTGTGTATGTATACATACATATGGGTATGTGTTAATGCTTATCATGACATTGCCCTTCGTTTTCACCATTTGCTATAGATATCCCTGAACATGCATGCAGAGGCTAGAGAAATTAAGATTTTCGGAGTTCTTGAAAGATCATAGTATGACCGAAACATTTTTTGTAAACAGTGACCGCTTTTTCCTCCGCATTCAACTTCCTCATTAGAGTTGAGAATATATCTGTCCAGCTGAGCCTGAACTACTGGTATCTAGTAATAAACCTTGCAGAAGCTTGAAAGAACTTTGGTTTCCTCCCCACCTCAACAGGGTCCTGTTTTTGAACAAGCTTTGGTGTACATAGTGCAGGCTTTGTGTGAACTGGGAGCTCCAGAAAGTGTGCTGGGCATCTATAATTGGTGTAGAGAGACCACAGGCAGAGCTATGTCCTGGATCCTTGCTGCCGCTGAAAAGGCTCACAAACGGTAAGAACCTGTGATGACAGAGATGTAGGCAATTATGTTTGTGTGACACCTTTTGAATGGGGAACTAATGTACACAAGGTTTTTTTCCACTCTCTCTCTCTCTCTCTCTCTCTCTCTCTCTCTCTCTCTCTCTCTCTCTCTTTCTCTCTTTCTCTCTCTCTCTTTTTAAAAATTTTCGGTTTGCCCATATTGTCATTTGCAAATGCCTTGAATTTGCAGTTTGAGTCTCTCAGTGTCAAGAGTTCCATGAAAATCATGTGATGTAGTGCATTGTTTTTAAAATCATGAAAATCACGATTTCGGTTCATGAAAGCATGAAACCCCCCCCCCCCCCCCCCCAAGTACTCAACAATTCAGTGCAATGTGTTTGGTTTCTTTTGCACGTATAGAGAACTGGATGCTGTACTATACTATGCAGGCCATCTGTAGTGTTATAGTATTTTAGATGGTTTATTATCATATCCGTAGATTTTATTTTGTTATTGCAAAACTGATTTCTCTATTGTAGTCATTAGGTCATCCACTCTTTTTTTTTCCCCCTTTACTCTCTGTTGAAAGAACTTACTTGTTAGAAACTCAGCGATAATTTTTTTTTTTAACATACACTCTACAATTTTCTTTGGATGAAGGGATGTGGTTATTGGTCATCATTTGTTCCTTTATTCTGTGTATTATTAGAGCGTATAGTTGTTGGGTAAATGTTTCCAATAATTTTTTTTTCTTCAGTTGGTCCATACATCGTATGAGATATATGTGTTAAGTGTACTCTTAGCTGCTTCTTCCTGGTTTTGTGTCTTGCCTTTGCCGTGTGTATGGTTTTGTGAGAGGGAACAATTTTCAATTTTGAAACAGACTAGGTCCAAGTGGTTTTGGGGGTTTTTTTGGTTTCTTTTTGTTTTGTTTCTTGTTTTGCTATTTTTTAGTGACTTAGTTTGCAAACTGGGGTTTGAAAAAGCCTACTGTGCTTTGAATACATAGTGAAGAGTGCAAGGGTGTAAATGTTATCTCTTAAAGCTCAGGTGTACGGTATGGTGTGCGAGTCCAGCATTTTTTACTCGAGTCTTAAGTCTGAGTGATAATGAAATACTCGAGTGAGTACTTGGGTACTTGTGTACTTATTCTATCGGCTAAGGCACGTGGGGCTCAAAGGGTAAGAAAATGGTCATAATACTTATTCTCTACCATGTATCTTTGCCTGCACTGTCATGATCTTTCCTTTAAATGGAAAACTTATTTACTATCTTGCTTCTGTGTTGTTGAAAGGTATGAGAAAGCTGCGGTGGACTACAAGAGTTCTCTGAAGATCATGCTTAGTGATCACAATGAGGAGGACGAGGAAAACGAAGAGGGGCTCAGTCTCAGCCGCATTTCGCCGCGTGACAGTCCGCGGAGAAAGCTGAGCAGCAGAGTAAAACCCATGGAGTACCAGCAGTCCACTCTGACTTTTGTGGCCAATCAGGTCGGTGATGGTCTACACTGTGGTCGGGAAAATAGCTAAACTATTCCCATAGGTTTTCCATGCATTCAGAAAGATCCATTCAATTGTTTGTTTTGTAATCCCGGCTGTCTGGCGAACGAAACCTAAAAATTAGTCTGAATTTTTTTGTTATTAATGGGTGCCTCCTGGCCTTGTGTCTAAGAGTAAAAATGGCCCCTTGGAATATAGTCTCCTTTGTCAAGGTCGTGTGCTATGTAATTGAATATTCACAGGATCAGAACTGATCTCATAATGGATTGTTCAGATTAAGACATTTAAGAATTATATTTTTTAAATGTATTTTCTCATAACATACTACTATTTCATTTAGCACAGAAGAAGATCAAACTCTTGCGCTCATATGACCTTATGCAGTTGCGAGCGCCGTAAAACCTCTACTAAAAAAAAGAAGATCAAACTGATTGAAAGGGTGTTACGCTTAATGGAATGTCGCGTCATAAATTCATTGTGTCTCTGCTTTGCTGCAGGTGACGGACAGCTACATGCGTCTGTGTGACTGGGACTCTGTGATGGAGTGGCAGGAGTGGCTCCTACAGCAGCAGCAGCAGCTCAAGTTGGAGTCGGGTTACAGCAAAGGGGGCAGCGTGCTCAGGAGCTCTGTCGACTCCAATCTGATCAAGTGAGTAGACAATCAAGGGACTTTGTACATTTTATTTTGAAACATCTCTGTATGTTATTTTTTTAGAAGACTTTTGGTGCCTTTGGATTTGTTATGACAGTGTGTTTTTTTGCTAATCGCTGCTATCACAACAAAAATTAGTAACTCTGACTTTTTGTTTGCAAAGAATGAGTAAAAAACAAAGGGGTTATTCATTTTGCTTGCAACAGAGTTGTTATTTAATTTTGTAAAGAGAAACTGCCAGGACAATAATTTTCTTGTAAAATGGCTATGGATAGGATATTGTGTGAGCAACTTAGTACAGTTTATGCTCAATATTACAATTTTTTGTTAGTTTTAACAATGCTGTTTTGTAATAGTGATAGTTGAGTGCTGATCTTTCTGGACTGACAACTTTTAGGTCACTGGTTTGAATCTGGTTTGGGCCTGAAGTTGTGTCCAGGAGAAAGGCAAGGCATTTTACACAAATTATCCTAACTTCACTCAAATGGGAATGGGTTCCTAGCTAAGAAAGTAAAGGTCTCGTCTGTGTGGTAGTGTTTGAGCAAGTGTTTAAAATGGCACATATCCCTGAATGCTTTGGAGGAAGCTCAGGATTGTTAGTGTAGAAATAAATTATGACATGTGTAGAACCTACGTTGGAGCAGAGACATGTGCTATTAAAGTGCTGTCTCTCCTGCTTCTCACCTCCTCCTCTGCATCCTTCTCCTCCACTTTATCCTCTTCCTCTTTCTCCGCTCCTTTTTCTTCTCCTGCTTCTTCTTCGACAAACCGTCAGCTAACTGAGAACCCTGTCTTTGCAGAGCCATGGCGGAGTTTGAGTCTGGGAACCTAGAGGGCATCAAGACAAACCTAGAGCTGGTGCCAGGCATGAGCCTGACGGAAACCAACGGCCTGCGACCTGAGGCCATCTGCGTTCTGTCCAGCTGGGACATGGCGCACGAAGAAGAGCAGCTACGCAGGATGTTCCTGCGTGCCTCTACCCAGCTCATGGAGCAAACTGAAGTGCTGCATAGGTGAGAACTGTTCTTGAGATGCTTTGGTCTGAGCCTGTCCCTGAACGGTGTTGTAGAACTGTATTTGTTGGTATTGTTTTGTACTTGGGATTTATGTAAGCATCTAGAGGTGTGAGTGTGTGTGTGTGTCCATGGGGATAGGTGCTTTGTAAATGATATAGAGTATTATTATTATTATTGTTTAAGCTGTCTATATTTTTTCCTTGTAGATTATTCTGGTCTACCTTATTGTACTGATAAGTCATATCCATGACTTTCTATGAATGACGGATGCAGTATATTGTATTTAAAAAAATTTTTTCCACTTTTTTTATAACACTATCGTAAATTTCAGTGTGATGACATTGTTATTTTATTTTTTAAAATTAGTTGGGGGGTGGGGTGAACAGAGGCAGTGAGCACTTTTTCTTAGTTAAAGATTGCTAATTATCAAAGTTGGTATTATTTTTGGGGGGTATTTCTTTATCTTTATTTGACTTACGAAGTCACACATTTTCTTCGTGGGTGGTTGGCGGGTGCTCTGGTGTGGTTTGCTCCTTTTTTCCTATCAAATATCTATCGTCCTTATCTCCCCTTCTTCTTTTTTGTTTGTTACTATCTTGTAACACCTCTGTTCTTCTGGCGCTCATACGACCTTATGCAGTTGCGAGTGCCGTAAAACCTCTACTAAAACATTTTCTTCTGTCTCACAAAGGGTGGACTCTGTCCGCTGCATCCAGCAGGCAGAGAGGCTGGGAGATGGACTGCTGAGAGTGTGTGCAATGGCCTGGCCCCCGGCCCTGCCCTCTGATGGCCTCACGCAGCTGGCCTCGTTGGTGGCCCTCAGAAAACAGCTAGATGACAAAAAGAACAAGGTAAGATTCTCAGCTGTTGGTGAAGAATAGAAGGGTTTCGCTCTGTGAAGAAATCATTAAAGCAGTTGAAAGTGGTTGAAAATATGCTCATGAGGTGACCTGTTTGCTTGAGAACGTATACAGCGACAAAGCACACCTGATAAAAACCTGTAAATTCTTTGCCTTATCGACATGCCGAAAAGTTAGAACCCGGGTGGCCGCTGTATGGGAAAAGTAAAGTAAAAGTAAGTTAGAGAATATAATGGTTTTAATAATTTGGGTTTCTTGGTGATATGAGGTAACAATATTAGAAGAGGCGAAATCTTGTATCTCTTTTTGTTGTCTTGAGACAAACATGTTTTTTGTTAATCAGCACACCCAGTTTTGACTACATTTGTCATATTTGTTCTATCAACATGTTTTTGCATTAAAGAAGGTGGCATTTTTTGTGGTCTTAAGCCAGATATATTTTTTGTTAATCAGCACACCAGTTTTTTGCTATATTTGTCATATATTTGTACTTAGACTGTATTTTCGCATTAAGGAAGGAGGATTTTTGGGATGATAGGTGCCTGACAAAGAAAAGTTGGGGTTTGTCTCATTCATTTTGACTTGAGTCTTTGACTAAATGCCAAAATGTTTGCACTGTGTTTTATGTTGAACTGATTGTTCCTCTACAGACAAGTCTGCTGCCCCTGTCACCGAGGCTAGACTCTGGAGTAGATGATGTGACAGTCTACAACCAGCTCATCCGGACTGTTCAGTTACAGAGTCGACTCCTGGGCTGTGATAAAGAGGAAGGTAATGGTACACCTACCATAAAGTGTCTTGGCTGGATGTATCATTATTTTTAAAGTGATGAAAGTAGTCTTTATCTCTCCTCCGTCTTTTTTTGTATGTTATTCTCTAGTAACGCCTTTAATTGTAAATCTTCAGCATTTACACAACCAATTTGTGTTGCAAGTACAGTTAAACCTGACTAAAACTTAAATAAAACGACAGAGATTACATACTATGCAACAACTTGCCAGTGGATGATTGGAGAGCACAACTGCAAGGTCCAACTTCTTTACTTTCCCTCTGTTCCTGTTCGTCTGGTGAACTTTTCCCCTGTAGAAAATGACTAGTATTGTGTCTATTTGTTTCCATTTATTGAAACTAAAAAAAATAATTCCACTCTCCTTTACCTGGCGGCGGATCTGATCCGGTTTGTTTCTTCTTTCATATGAAACATCTATCAGCCTTATCTCTTCTCCATCTTTTCTTTGTATGCTATTTATTCTCAAGTAACAATTCTAATCATCTGCACCTACATGACCTAATTGTGTTGCCAGTGCTGTAAAACTCTTACAAAAATCCTTTACCAGGCTTGGAGGACCAGCTGTCATCCCTGAGACTGGCCGTGGCCAATGTGGCTCGCAAACAGCTCAATACGGCCACAGCAGAGGAGATCCTGCTGAAACAGTGTCGGTCGGCCCTTGACCTGATTCAGCCGGAGGGCTCATTGCTGGCTAGTTTGACCAAAGTTCGGCCACTGGCTGTGTGTGGCAGCCCCAAGCAGTTGGAAATGATCAAATTGCAGGTAAATGTTTTCTCTTTCTTTCTTTCCTTCTCTTCTCTTCTCTTCCTTTTTTTTTTTCTTAAAAAAAGATCTTTTTTGCTTTGTTTGTTTTCATTTTTCGTTTTTTTTTCTTTGTCTTTTTATTAGCCAAAATTGTAGGGTGTCTGCATGTGTTGTGTATATGCACTGTTTGCTGTGTTGATGTAGCCTTCACTTTCAAGGTCACGATCTTTTTTCCATAATGCTTATATTATAATCTAAAATTTAGCATTGTGCTGTAAAACTCAAGTCGCAGGACTAACTCTTATATTGTAGCTCACACCTATTGGATGGGTGGTTGACGGGTACTCTGGTGTGGCTTGCTCTTTCTTTCTTTTTTAATATCGATCTTCCATTTCTCTCCTCCTTCTTTTTTGTATTTGTTACTCTCTTGTAACATCTCTAATCTTTGTCACTCATAACTGCGTTGCGAGTGTCGTAAAACTCTTACTAAAACTAACCTTTTAATTTTTTGCGTATGTTCAGAGATTTTTCTTTCAATTGTTTGAAAAATTTTGCCTTTGCAGAGAGAGGGGGCCAAACTTCTGAGAATCTCTGGCAACAAAGATGGGTCGCTGGAGGTGCTCTCTGGCAGCGTGGTGGCCTCAAGCTGGCCTTTAGATGGCGCCGCGAGCTGGATGCTGGACGCAGAGTGTGCTCAGCTCAATGCCAGGTCTCTCCTCACCCTGGTCAAGTGGCTGCAGGTTAGTCGCTTCACCAAAATTGATTTTTGGGCCCTTTTAAAAAAAATTACTTTAAAAAAAAAAAATCCTCATTTTGTTGCATGGAAATGATGAATGCAGTTCATGGTGTGATGAACGTAGGATCACTATGTGAACTATGGTCTTTGTAGTTATTATTGTAACGCGCATAGAGTACTTTCCTAGTTCAAATGCTCTATGTGAACGTAATTCATTATTATTAATTCTACAGTATAACACGGATAGCTCGGATTGGTTGGGACCTCGGTAGTTCGAGGGATCTGTAGTTCGAGGGATATCTTACAAAGGTTAAGAAGGAAAAAAAACCCGGGACTGCAGGCACAGTTTGACGGATGATTGATTTCGAGTCTTCTGTGTTTGACCCGTCCGTGTTATATTGCTTTATGATTATTATTATCATTATGATTATTATTATTATTATTATTATAATTATTATCATCATTGTCATCATCATCATCATTACTCCGTTTGCAGATGGAGTTCAGCAAGATGAATGAAGTGCAGGAAGAGGCGCTCATGAACAACGCTGTCAACTGCCCCAACTGGGTGTCCTCGCTCAACAGTCTGCTAGAACTGGAGCGCGTGGCGGTCAATGGGGGCCAGGCAACCCTGCTTCAGAGAGGTGAGTGAACTTTTGTTGAAAACTCTTTTTTATGTGACAGTTATTTGAGTTTTCTAAGACTCTGTGGATTGGTGATGTCAGCTAGGGCTTGACTGATACTTTCCTTCAGAGAGTTAGACCAGTGGATGAAAAATGTTTTTATGTGACAACAATTGTCAGTTTTTCCTAGAAATGTTGGCTCTAGATAGATAATCAAGGAGGGCTAGGTGCTTAAGAAAGGTAGCTGAGTGGTTGTTTGTATTTGATTATTGTCAAATTTTTAAAAGATGTTTGCTCTTGATTGGAGGTCTTTATTGAGGCCTGAAACCTTACTTTGGAGAGGAAGCAAAGAGCTTGGAAGTTATGACAGTTGTCCTGATTTCTTAAGTTGGACCACCCTTCCCAATTACAAAATTTGTAACCTCAACTTACCTATAGTAGAAATCTTATCAGGTCATGTTGTTGGTCCTTGAACTTTGAACTTTCATTATTTCTTGCCTTATTTTATTTTATTTTTTTTCATATTCAGTTAAATCTCATTTATACAAACCTATATTATATCGCTCATTTAAACATACCTATATTATGTTGACGTAAAATCTTCACCGTTAAATAAGCTTATTCTTTTAAGAGGGTTGTTAGATGCGTATAATACCAGCTCAGTATCCATTTCCATTGCTTGTCTTGCAGGAGACTCCATTGGTTCTAGTCCACTGCTATCCAAGTCAGAGAGCATACTGGGCCGTTTGCTTCACTTGAGCAGCATGCAAAGTCCCAGCCTAGGCAAGGCGTGGTTCTCCCTGGCTGCCTGGTGCTACAAGTGGGGACGCAAGACAGTTGACAACGCCAGGTGAGAGATTTTTGAAAGATTTGATGATTTAAAAATTTGTTAATTATGGGCGATGCTTTTGACAAGGATGAGGTTAGCTTTTTTTGTTTTTTCCACGGAATTAAGTATTTTCTTTGCAGTAAAGAACGCTGTAGCATGCACATAGAGAAAATACACATAATGAAACACACACACAGCAAACTAGTCTTCAGGTCCCAAATTTTTTCTATTACATGTTTTAGAACACGAAAATAGCAAAATTCGTACATAATGAAGTGATTTCCAATTGTTGTACAATTGGTTTGCAGTTAGCGAAGTGTGTTTGAGGTACAAGGAATAATGACAGTCTTTTCAAGAGCCCACGTCCCTCTTGACTCATTGGAGCAGAGGAAGATAAGACTAACGCTAACATTACTTAAACGCAATCCCTTACCATCGCTCATCACCACCATTATATCTAAAATCATCCCCGCTCTCAGATCAAAGACTTGCATCTATAATCCTGGAATCTCTATCTGTTATTACAGTTACTTGTATGCACGTTATGCACTATTGGACACTATCATATGCACTTTTTTCTACTAATCAGATGGCGTCAATCTGATATAAATGGGCAATAGGAAAAAAAAAGCCTTTTCAAGTATCAGAAAAATTTTGTGCTTTTGGAAAGTGTATGAATATGATATGAATCTCGTGTGTTTTGCATCCTTTTTTTTTTGTGTAAAACACTTGTTAAAAATTTTGTTTCGTTCCTTGTTAAATTGAAAAAAACAAACTATTCTATTTCCATAAAAAAATCAAGATCCTCAATTTTGTTTTTGCGAATTCATTCCTTTTTATTTTAGTTTGTCATTTTTCATTCTGGAATCTTCATCTACCTTACATATTCACAATAATCTCCGACTACAGTGTTCAGTACAATTGTTAATCTCAAGAATGTTCAAATGCCTTATTTCCGTTCTTTGCAGCAACGGCTATGTGAAACTGTCTGCTGAGGAAGAAGCACAAGTGATCCAAATTCTACCACAGGTAAGAATCTGCAATCAGCATGCCTTCTCACAATGGTTGATGGTCAGTGTTTTTGTAGCATTGGTCCTGTTACATCTATGATTTTCCTGTTACTTAATGCCATATAGTTGGGTGTTTTTTTTTGCAAGAGCGTGGTTTTGTGGGCAGCTCTTGCAGGAAGAAGTTTGTAGTAGTTCCGGACTGTGCAATGTGCTGTTGCGAACAGAACCAATTTTTTTCGCATGCTCATGTGACCTTATGCAGTTGCGAGCGCCGCAAAACTCTTACTAAAACAAACGAACTCTGAACGGGAGCTGCCTTGTCATGGTTTCTGGCATCTGTTTAAAACTTGTGTTATTGTCAGCCAGTTGTTCAGATGTGCTAAGCCCAAAATTAAAATAACAATTTTTATTTCAGTTTTATAATCTGTAGTATTGGTTGCAGGTGCTTAAGAAATAATTTGTGGAAATTCAAATTCTAAATGTTGGAAGGAGAGAACAACAACTACCCACAAGAAAAGATACATAGTTTAAGTGCAATTGTTAAAAGAATCAAGGTTTTTTTTTCTGTCTCCTGAAAAATTTTGCTTTCTGGGCTTAGCACATTTAAACAGCTTGCCGTTGTTATATTATTTTCTGTCTTTGCATCCCCCTCATGTCTACTATTTACAGGACACAACTGGAGGTGAGGAGAAAGAAGTTTTGTCCATCCTGAGCCACATTCACAACCAGGAGAGCAGCGACGAGGACATCATGGACCAAGACCAGGTCAGCAGATTTGTTCCTCTATAACTAGCGTAAAACTTTGAAGAAGCTGAAGGGTTGACAATAGAAAATAGCTCATGGACATCAATTGTTTCTGCTTATTTATTTCACAGAGTTTAAGAACGATTTGTCCTGCTCACATTAATTTTGTTGCTGTTTGTTTGCTGTCATTTGTCCCTGTGCCCTATTGAAATGTTGAAAGTAAATTAATTCAAGAATTTAATTACTTGAAAATTTAAGATTTCTCCTTTACATGCTGTTATTCTGATGCTTATACAACCTCTAGGAGGTGGTATTGTTAATGATCTTGGTATTGGTTTAATAGTTGTTAGTGATGAGAGTAAAAATCTGGCAATATGTTGCATCAATTACTGAAAGATTGGTTAAATAGAGGGATGAAAAGTGAGTTGTTAGTGGATTAAGCTGTAGACTCTCTTAATGGTATCAATGTGGTTTTGTCCTTGAGCAAAAGAATTGATTCAAGGCTTCTCAAAAAAGAAGTAGCTTGCACCTTTGTGTTCATCTGAGTTTTACATTTTGTCATCAGGTATTGGGTTTTATTTCTGAGGGTGTGTTTTCCAGCAGATACTGGATTTGCAACAATGTTACCATCCAAAGTTAATGATTGCCATGGTGGCAGGACTGAAATTTGATTGAAGCTTGGCAGTTTGTGTCATCAACATGATAATAACCATTTTTTAAAAAGTGTATCCCTTGCGAAGAAGATGATAACATATTTTTAAAAATATATCTTTCAGAGCATGTATGATGATGGAACTGACACAGTGAGGAAGCGCCTTCTGGCCTGTTCGCTTTCACTGATGGGGCCAGCAGACCCATGTGTTGAGAAGCTGATATCTGTGTGGCGTGGTGTGGTGAAGAGAGTCTATCACTACTACCAGCTCTCTGCTAAGGCTTATTTCACCTACTTGCATGTGAATGGCTTGGTAAGTTTAGCATTAGAGCTTGACAGTGGATGCGAAGTGGGTGGTTAGAAGTTGCCTCAAATTAAACGTTTTTATATGCTACTATTACAAATGCTTTGTTTGAATCCCAAAAAACAAAATTGTTGGACATATGGTGAGCTTTCTTTTATTTTACTTTAATTCCCATGTAATGATCGAACTCCCATATTTTAATAAGGAGTGCCCCTGATATTCATATTTTCAAGAAACAGCTGAAGCAATACTTATTCACTACTTGTCCCAACAATGTAACATTTTCTGGTATGTGCATGTCTGACAGTGTGACGGATGAAGAAATTACAAGTGAGAGAGAGAGACAAACAGACTGAGAGAGAAAGAGACAGACAGACAGAGTGAGAAGGAGAGAGAGTAACTTTTTTCGTTTATAGCCATTCCAGTAAATTTTATATTGATCATAATTTGCTTTTGATGTGTTTTACAAAATGGAAATTCACAGCATAAATGTCATTTATTGTTATTTATTGACTGAACACACAACTTGTTGCAGAATGAAGGTCAGAACAATGAGGGTGGAACCATCACCTCGACCCTGCGCCTGCTTAGGCTGCTGGTGAAGTACGCCTCTGAGCTACGGGAAGTGCTGGAGACTGGACTGTCGCAGACACCCACGGCTCCCTGGAAAGGTTGGGGGATTTCTTACATGTTTTGTGTCTTGTTGTTATGGTGACCTCTCGTAGTAGGGCAGAGCCATCTCCTTTTTAATGGCTGATCTTTGTGTTGGATTGTTTTATGTGTATGTATGTGAGATTTGGTTCCCCTTGAGCTTGGGCTTCTGTTTTTTTAGACTAAAAAGGGAAAAGAGGCAGTCGTACTAAAGTATGACTATTACATATACAAATGCGAAACAGCAGTGATAAGTTAATTTTCTGCTTATATCTATGAGGCTGCCTGCTTTCATCCCTCCTCATTGGTCCTCTCTTTAAGTCTTTAAATCATTGGTTTTGAAGAAAAAAAGAAAGAAAGTAAAAAAAACACTTTTACCGATCCCCATGGGGGTATTTAAGTTATAATGTCAAGTACAAGGCATCCTTATAATGGTTCAGAGATTGCATTAATGCCTCATAATGCACAATGTCACGTCAGAACAGACAATTTTGCAAACACATTGGTTGTCACTGCCCTGCACCCTGTTTTTGAGTTAAGATTATCATGTCTCATTCAGGGACACATCACTGTGATTAGAAGTGAAAGTTGGGGCTTTTGTGGTCTTGAGTTACCATATTTGCCTTTTAGTTAAAAGGTCCTAGGATCAAAAGCTGCCAGGGACAAAAACATGTACTCTTACCGCTTTCTACTGCTACTGCTGGCTCTTTCAAACTGCTGTCTTTCAGCCACACCCTTAATCTGAGGGTAGGGAAGATCGAACACCTAGCCTTCTTGGATAAGAGCGAAAATCTGGGAGGTCCCATGAGCAAATTGTGCATGTGGAAAGATCTCGTGGTGGTCCTACAATCAAGAGTAGGATTTGGCCGCCCTGTTGGCTACGTTATTGTTTGCTATAATGGTGGCACAATAAACACCATTTCTGAAAATTTGAAAGACTTGAATCCATGTTGTCTAGACATTAACCTTACACTTTGGGCACTTTGCAGGCATCATTCCTCAGTTGTTTTCTCGCCTGAGTCACCCCGAGAGCTATGTACGCCAGAGCATCTCGGAGCTGTTGTGCCGCATCGCCTTAGACGCTCCGCATCTCATTGTCTACCCGGCTGTGGTAGGAAGCACGTCCAAGATCCAGGTCAAGCTGCCAGGACAGAAAGGTGGATATGTTAAGAATGTCATATTTATTTCTTGAATTTCCAGGGTTTGTGAAAAGCTGCTTCTTTCAGAATTTATGTTTTTATTATTTTCGTTTATGTCAAATTACACTTGGGTCTGTACAACAAGGCCCAGTAAACCAAGGCAACCCCTTTTCCACAGAGGGAATGTCGCATTTGCTTTTTGCTTTGACTAAACAGTCCCAAGGACAAGAACTCTTATGACCTTGTGGAATTAAAAAACCGGTCAAGATGATCTGTGATTTGTCTTTAATATAGGGATATAATGAATGGAATTTCAATACAATTTGTTGTCAGTATATTGACAAGTATCTTTTTCATTGTATATTTTTTTCTCTTATTCTCTTCTTTTTTTAATTGCTACCCATATCGAATTTTGACACTTTGATTACCAGCTTGCTCTAATGTCCCACAGGTTTCCTCAAGTCCTACTTGTCCCAAGATGATGGTGCGGAGGACAAAGATCTGGAGATTCCAGTTGGCGGTGAAGAGGATGAAGAAGAAGAGGAAGAGTTGGATGAGGGTTCCAGCCCTGAACTTCAGGCTTGCTTGTCTTCCATTGTTGATGCCTTATCAAAACTAAATCCTCAGTAAGAAGACACTAAACATACTCTTTGTGTAAAGTATGATTTTGGAAATGGCCAAGATATTTTTGTTTTCTTTATTGAAACTAAATGCATTGAAAACCTCATCTTTCAGACAGGAGGCTCAAAACTTGTGAGATTGCTGATACTACAGATCTTTCTAAGTCTGCAGTTCATCAGTGCAGCCACACAGTGTGAAACCCTCAATAAGATGGGAGAAGCAGTGTGCCATAAGAGACTACGACATTTGAGGGTGTCCTCTTGCAACATGACAATGCCACCCCTAAGATTACCAAGGTCACCAAAGAATGACCACAGAGGTTGGGAGGTTTTTAATCCCTTCCACCTCACAGCCCTAATCTTGCCCCTTCAGACTTCCATTTGTTTGAACTAATAAAGTTTTACCTGGCCAGGAAGAAATGTAAAATTCACCGATGACACAAACCATGTGGAGCATGTCATGGAGTGGCTTCGGTGGCTTATTTCAAATTCTGCATGATAGTGTGCATTTATTCATGCGGTGACAGAGAAAATGCTTGACTGCTCATGTTTGTTTAGTAAGAGATTTAGGGCTCTCGCAAATACATAAGGTCATATGAGCACTTGCATGATAGTATTCATTTATTCAGGCTTGACTGTTCAAGTTTGTTTAGTAAGAGTTTTACGGCTCACGCAGTTACATAAGGTCACATAAAGGCCTTTGATTGTTCATGAGGATTATGTTGAGAAATGCAGGGAATGTTTAGCCAGCCAACATTGTAAGTTGTAATTCAGTCATTACAACATTTCTCATTTCATTGCGATTTTCTTGTTAGTTCTGGGACAGCTCTCGTATGTAGCTTTTAGCTCTTGAAACTGACACCACTCTTACCCTTTCTCCTACCATGCGCTTATAGCACCTGTCCTATATGCATAAAGTCAGTAGACCGTAGATTTAAAACTCTCCATCCCTCCCCTCTCCCATAAATATCTCACCATGAAAAGGATGATAGCCGAGGTCCAGCTGATGGTGCAGGAGCTTCGGCGTGTGACCCTGCTGTGGGAGGAGCTGTGGCTGGGCACTCTGAACCAGCAGCAGACGGACGTGCAGCGACGCCTGGCCCAGCTCAGCACGGAGATCAAGCGAGTGGAGGGGAACAAGTCGCTCAGCAAGGCCATGAAGGAGACTGTTATTCGGGAGAAGCATCGCACTATCATGAAGCCGGTGATTTGTGTTTTTATTCTCGTATTCCTTTCAACAGTTAAGGAAATAATTTGTTTGGTATTCAACTGTGACATATCAAAATGAATAAAAACTTTAAAGCTTAAAAAAAAAAGCATGAAAATGATTGTAGGGAAGCCCCTACACAAGAAAATTACACTTGACATCTATCAAATGGTAAGAGGCTTCTCCAGAACCAATTTCTTGTTTTTACGTCATCAAAAGTGCACTTTTATTTTACTGCCAATATTTTTTGTGATATATTCTTGTTCTGTAAACTGTGAAAAGCCTTTTGCTGGCTTTGCCCTAAGGTACATGTCCATGTAATGGCCTTCTTATGAAAACTGAAAAAAGGTTATAGGTGATTAGGGTGTTGGGTATAATCTATCCTGTATTCCCAATCAATTTTATAATGTACAGGTTGATTTGGGACCTTTCATTTGCTAACGCATCTTCCCTGCAAAAGTACGCTGCACAGGTATGGACTACTTTGTCATCTTTCTGTTGTGCAACAGTGATGAAAATTTAAAAAAACATATTTTGATGCCAATCGGGTCATAAACATGTCTTTGAACTAACTTTTTTTCTTCTCCTCAGCTGGTTAATAATGTACTTTTAAAAATGTTAATGTTTATAAATACTGATGTGTTTCTTCCACAGACACTGTACACCATGGAGCACTTGCATGAAATCACCTCCCAGGCAGCTCAGACGCCACAGGAGCGGAGGTTCCAGGCTGCGTATGGCAAGCAAATCGCTGCTGCCTTGCAGAGACTGAGGGATCCACAAGACCCTGCCAACCCACATGATACGTGGGCTTTGTTCAAAAGTGTTAGTAACAATTTTTGCTTTTGCAATAATCAGTTTTGATTTGCATGGGACTTTTAACTAGTTAAAAAAAAAAATCAAAACAGTTCTCATCTTATTTTATCTTGTACTTTCGAAGGGTTTAATGAGGTTTGTCCACATGACTTTCTTATAGGATTTTCTTTTGATATCTTGTCGTTATCTCCAATCGTATGGTGTTTTATTTGATTAAGATGAAAGAGATTCAATGAATTAATTCATGTTAGTTTAAAAATGAGTGTATTTGTGTGTCAGTTAGAAAAGAGATTATTTCAGAAACCAGAATTATAAACAGTGTCATGAACTCTGCTTTGGTGTGGCCCTCCTCCTGTTACACCTATTCAGTGTGGGTGGTTTGTGGGTGCTCTGATGTGGTGTCGTGCTTCTTTCCTATAAGATACCTATCGTCCTCATCTTTCCTTTTTTTTTGTTTGTATGTTTCATTCTAGTAATACTAAAATTAATAACATCTATCCAGTACTACTTATTTTATGGTGTTACTTTGCTTCTAGCAAAATGTCGGCATTCTCATCCTGTGTTTTTGGGAAATACAGCATATCTCAACCCTTGATTTACGATTTGGGAACAATTTCTCGCTATTTCAGATCCACCACAGCCTCCAGCAGCGTGCCCAGAAGAGGAACAGCCTGCAGCTGAAGATGGACGAGATCAGTCCTAAGCTGGCCAGCCTGAAGAGCTCTGTGATCCCCATGCCTGGGCTCACGTCTGCTGGGAAGGTCAGTGTCTTCTGTCCTGCCATCGTCCTTCTGGTGGCAGATGATCAGTGTATAGTTTATAGATTTGTTTATGATGTAAATGATTTGTATTTCAAAGTAAGATGCATCATATAGCAGGTGGTTTCTAGTGCATCAGGGGGGGGGGGGGGGGGCATTCTTTTATGGCCTGCTCTTGTAACTTCTTTTTAATATCACAGTTGTTCCTTTCAAAATGTGACCATTAAGTTGAAGTCTCTGTGTTACTTCAGCCCCACATGCAGCAAGAAAATTTAAGGAAAAGAAAGGTCAAGCGATTCATCATTCTCTCGATCTATACATGTGTCTAAAACTTTAGTTTAGAAATTGGTGAAAGGACTCTGCTGCAATTCTTTCTCTTGTATGGATTGCTGAATTCATTTTGTTGATACTTAAATTTGGTCAGATAATCCTGCTAGTTCACTGAAGTCGTGAAAATGTTTTCTGAATTTTCTGTATGTGCAGTCATGTATTGCAATGTCATTTTTTTTTTTTTTTACAAAATACATCAAAGGCTATTGCTACAGATAGATTCAGAAATATTTTTTTTGCATTATGTTAGGCTAGTTGTTGTGTAATGTCCCTTTTTTTTTTTTACGTGACATCTGTATGAAATCAAACCTGCTCTTATGAGCACCTGTCTAAGACAATCACCTGTACAGTCGACCTCGTCCCACATTTTTGTCCTCCACAATGACAATGGATGACAGTCTTGGACAGTTTCGACTGCACTTTGTATTTATTTTCCTGATAAAGCCTTCTTGTAACGAGAATTTATTTTTTCCTTCTCAGGTTGTGACTATTGAGGCTGTACACAATTTTGCTCAGATTCTGCCCACAAAGACCAAGCCGAAAAAGCTCATTTTTATTGGCTCTGATGGAAAAAAGTAGGTCACCTATGGGCCATGCGCTGTCATTAACAGCTTTTGACCGTTATGGAAATACTGGTAACTTTCATACCAAATGAAACTTACATAAATTGTATGGGTTTTTTTGGGGTGCAAAATAAAGACTCATCTGTTGTTAGCAAAGGCATGACTATTCCTTTAGCTCCTTTATTCCCTGGACCTAGATCGAACCAAACCCTCAGTAATTTCTATTTCTTTTTTTTCCCACAGACATCCGTATCTGTTCAAAGGACTGGAAGATCTGCACTTGGATGAGCGCATCATGCAGTTCCTGTCCATTGTCAATGACATGTTTGCCTGCAATAAAAAGTGAGTGTCAAATGTGTACATGTTTTACTTTCTAATCTTTTTTTGTTAACAGCTTAAGTACTTCAAGTTTTCTCTCTAATCTATTTTTGTTAACAGCTCAAATTAACCCATAAAGGGGGTTCACTAAGGGGAAAAAGATGTACACAAAGTGAGGACAGTTGGGCTACAGCAGTTTATGTATTTAGTTTATCTAAAATGTACCTTTCTTTAAGAAATACTACTGTTCCATCACAGTAAAGAGTCTTTTTCTTATTTGAGAAAGGCTTTGGCAGGTTATTTTTAAAATTTGTTTCTTTCTTCATATTGCTTACTGAGAGTTGGTGGATATGAAACTGCTGGAATAAATGTTGCAATGTTTGGACTTTGCTTTTTTAAAGCACAAGGCAAGGGCAAGTTATATCTGAAAAAAGACATTTTGTTGCAGATATGTATATCATAGTATGAGGTTACATTCAGAAAGATAAAACAAAATAGAATACTTCAAGAATGATATTTTCTAAACGATTCCAGGAATGAGAGTCGGCACCAGTACCGGGCTCGTCGCTACTCCGTGACTCCTCTGGGACCTCGCTCAGGCCTGATCCAGTGGGTGGAGGGGGCCACAGCGTTGTTCAGCCTCTACAAGAAATGGCAGCAGCGCGAAGCTCTGGCTCAGAGTCTCAAGCCGTTGAATCACGGCGGGGCTGGCGGGAACCCTGCGCTGCCCGCACCTGTGCCCACCATCCCTCGCCCGAGTGAGGTTTTCTACAGCAAGCTCACTCCTGCTTTGAAAGAGAAAGTGAGTGGTGTTTGATTTGTTTTGTTTCATATTGTCAGTTGATGTGTTTTGGTGTTGCGTAATCCCTGATGTATTCCCATATTCCCAATCGCTGTAGACGACAGTAGCTTGGTAGGCTTCGTATTTTATTTGGAGACATAAGATAATGTTGTCATGTCTATTTCTTTTCAGGGTATTGAGAGCTTGGACAATCGCAAGGAGTGGCCTATGAGTGTCTTGCGTAAAGTTCTTGATGACCTCATGGATGAAACGCCAGATGATCTACTGGCCAAGTGAGTTATCCATACATGATAATGAAGA